GCGACTGAGACTCGATTGCCTCTTGATCGGGTTCGGCGAGTGTGAGCCGGAAACATAGCTACTGCGTTCCGATCCCACGGGTGGCCGAGCGCCGTTGCGCGAGGAGATGTTGTCCAGCGACAGGCTGCCGTTCCGCCTAGGATTATATCCGATGCCGGTGCTGTTGCGCTTGACATACTGTCCGCCGCTAAACGGCTCAATGTCGAATTCATCGTCGCTGTCAATCTCGTCGACGACTCCGGTGCGGATTCCTTGGATCTCCAGCATGCGCGCCGTCGTGCCGCCAAAGATGATGACCGTCAGCACCACAACCACCAGGACGGTGGCTTTGAGCGCGTAGGAGTTTTCGCCGGTAAGCAGCGCAGCAAGAGCGACGCCAACAGCTCCACGCAGACCAGCCCAGAAAAGCATTGCCTGGTAGTTGTAGGGCAGCTCATCGCTCACCTCTCCTCCGCCCCTCCGGCGGGCCCTGTAACGAATGACCCAGTTGATGAGACGAGATAGGGGGAACACCGCCACCCAGCGAGCAGCGCACACAGCGCAAACGGTAATGATGATAAGTAACGGTCGGAACTGCAGCGCATTATCCGTGAACAGCGCTAGACCGAGGTAAATGAAGATAAAGTTCTCTGACAGCTGCGCAAGGATCTGGAAGATGAACTTGGTCGTGAGCTGAGTCCGACGAGACATGTTGAAATAAGCGTAATGTTTCAGCGTTATACCGCAAAACAGCAAGGACACAATGCCTGAGAGTGTTAGTCATGTGCTGATGCGAAACAAGGGACTATCGAGGATCTTACCAGACATATGGATGCCGTGCGAGAAGAAATATGTAGCATACGCGATCAACACAACCAGGCAACTCTCGTTCTTGGGGTATCGTCGAATGTAGGTGAGTTTCAAAAGCAGTGCCGTCAGAACTCCGACAAGTACGCCAATCAACAAGCTTCCGAAAAAGACGATCAAGAAGATGCCGATACCCTCAAAGAAGCTCAAAAAGCCGAGCTTGGAGGCATCGCCTTTCTTGTACTTTTGCGCCGTCTCGAAAATGACAATAGCAATGGCGTCGTTGAGGATCGATTCGCCAAAGATGATGGTATACAATTTGGGGTCCACCTTGTACGAATTGAAGATGGCCAAGATAGTGACGGGATCGGTGGCCGATAGGGTCGCGCCGACAGAAATGGCGTCGACAAACGACAGGCTTATGGACTCGACTCCGGTCAGCGCATAGAGCCACAGGATGAGGCCTATGACGACCGCTGAAAGAAAGGTTCCCGCGAAAGCGAACGTCAGGATAGTGCCCATATTCCGGAAGAAATTGGCCTGGTGTAGCTCGTAGCCGGAGGCAAGGATAATCGGTGGTAGTAGTAGGTTGAAGAAGATTTGGTAATCGAAGCTGATGAGGTTTCGGATCGAATCGCCAGAGGTCACAAGCAAGAGCAGTCCGATAGTCATTCCTAGAGCATGCGTTAGAGGCCAGTTCGTACTTGTTCTGGAGGCGACGGGAACGGACCTGCAAAGATGGAGATGACCGTCTCGTGGACGGCCTCGATCTTCCTCTCTTGGAGGAAATAGCTCGTTAAGAAGGCTGTGATGAGAAGCATGATGGAGATGAATAGCGCCCATGCGGCGAAGATCTCCTTCTGTGAGCCATCGGAGCCTGGTTTATGCGGTCAGTCGCAATCGTCGGGAGCGCAAGGGCTCAAGGGAATCCGGTCGATAGCTTACCTTCAGGGTCGCCCTCTTCGGCGGCACGTTCTGGCAAAACAAAGTCAGCTTAGGCAGCTTCGACGCCTGCAAGAGGCAGGGTGTTGACGTGTAACATACGGACAAGGCGCAAGGCCGTTCCCGCAATATCCGTGGCCGATATCATATCGTATGGGTGATCTCGCGACGATGTCGTTGTTTATGGATTGGTGACGGAGTAGGATCCAGAATCAAGAGGAAAGCTGGGCGACCGGCGGCTCGCGGGTGAGCTCCGAGATGGGCGGATGGAGATCATTAACAGGCCAGCTCGTCGTCGTACGCCGCAGGGTTATGAGCTGACGATAAGAGTCTCCAGGTCGGTAGCTTTTTTTCGAGATGTCGCCAGGTTTCAATGCCAATGCGATCGAAGAACGGGCAGGCTACAGCAAAAGGCCAGTTCCGAAGTAAGGTTCGTAGAGGTGTCCACTAGAGGTACAGACGCAGCGCACGTCGACAAGCAGGACGGGACGGGAGCCAGCCACTGGTCGGAGGCTGCAACAATGCACACTGGCTGGAAGTGGCTCTAAAGCGATGCGGTGATTGGATGGGTGCTGTTTGACGGGCGGTTTTGCTTGCGTAGCCTCGGCGGGGTGGTAGAGTTACAATCGAGAGCGGGCGGGTGTCACTAGCTGTCGGCGGAAAACGCAGCGCCAAGCGTAGATCCTAAAGTACCGGGTACTGCGGGACCAGGCCGATGTAAACCTGTAGGTTGTGACTTGTAGTGTAAGGTAAGGTAGCTCGGGCCCGAACCTGGTGAGACGGAGTTGTGGGACACGTCGAGGATTACCTAGGTACCTAGGCTCCCCTCCCTTGTGTCCCGATAAGACTGAATATTCAGTTTGTGTCAAATTCTGGCTATCATGCTACTTCTTCTTTAGTATTACACGAATGGTTGCCATCTTGCATATTCTACCTTGATGCATAAGGAAGTTAAGGTAGGAAGGAGTCCATGCAATGGAAATGGCAGGAGGATTGGGCCGAGCTTGGCCGCGGCCTGCAGGAAGCATGACTTCATATGACACGGCACGTGCTCTCGAGGACCAGTTGGCAGTTGCGAAAAAGGTGCTCCATCAAGGGTAGGATTCTAGAACTCGGGCAAACACTGGGCCCAACGCAGCTGGGCAGTTGGCACCTCAGCGACCTGCTCCATACCACCACCCACTGCGGCATTGCATTGCCTAAGGTAAGCATCGTGACATCTACTGGTGTAGGTACTCCGCAATGTCAAAAAGGCCCATTGTTTTCCCCAGCTTCCACTCCATGTCCGGGGCCGTAAGAGGTCCAGTGGGAAACGGTTGTAGGGACCATCCAAGCTGAGGGTGTTGTGAATGTGCACTGCCGGTAAGACATCTGACACTTGAGGGTGCTGTGCCAGGACTTGTTGGGAAACCGGGGTAGCACTTGATCAAGATCCCTCGTGAGGGCTCATCAGCCGGATGAATGGCACCGTCAGCCGGAGACGGCTGTTCTACCACACGAAGAGACACGGGGTTGCGATCCGAGGGGGGGCCAGATGAGTGAGATACGTAGATGGTGAGATGGTTAGATTGTGCCCTATCGTACCTTACCTTTGCCTGAAGATGGCTTATGCAGCGCGCACACGAGGCTTACATGTGCCCATATAACAGTAAGTATTGTCTGAGCAAGTACCGGTGGAGGATCCAATGCACGCCTATCATGCCTGTTGTGTTATTTCCTTCTTCTCTGTTCTGTTCCATTCCCATTCTGATTTTCCCAACCATGAGGTGATGAAATAGCAACGTCGGTGTGCAGATTGTCTTTCCCGTGTTCCGCACCAGCAGCAGTAGTAGCAGCAAGAATCCTTGTAGTCCAAAGAAAATAGGTGGGCGTTTGGTCTGGGGCAAATCCCACGGGAGGTCGGGACTGGGCGATACCCCTAAAAAAGATAGGAGCAAACGTAGCGGGAGAAGGAGCTACGGGCATGACGTACTGAGTGCGGGGGCCACCCCGGGAACAGGCCAGGAAGCAAGGTCGCCTGTCGCTCTCTTTCACCGTCTCCTGTGCGTTGTGCGATGCCATCGCGACTTGGGCACTCTCCTCAACCTGACCTTACTGTGTTAGACTCTCGGCCCCGCCATCTTCCTGTCTCCCGTCTCTTTCTTCCGTCGTCTTCTCTTTCGCCTTCTCCAGCCTCCAAGCCATATCTGCTCTCTTCCTCATCCGGAACCCGCGCCATACTAGCCGTGGAAGATTCCACCAATTCCACCACTCAACTTGCCCGGAACCAAGCGAATAAATAATAACATCTCATCCCCCTTCCCCCCCTCACCATCCCTTTTTCAACGTTGCATGTGTCTCGACCATCTGTCGCTCCTCCCTTTTCGCCACGTGCAGTCTTTATCCATCCGACCACGCCAACCTAACCTGCCCGAGGTCGCATCTTAGCTGCTTTCCTCGTCCAGTCTCAGATTCTCTACACCATCAAGGAGGAGAGACGGATCGAGACGACGCTTCAGTCCGTCCACCAAAAACACCAGTTGGATTCGTATCTGATTCGCCTCGCTCCGCCAGTTCATCTACCAATTCGCCCCTGGTTCTATCTGCCACTGCCAGCGGACCCAGACGGTGCATTTGGCTGCCGCTCTCCCGCTGTCCGCTACATTGCTTGTCGAGTCGAGACTCGGAACCAGGCCTATTCTTACCCTAGTAGTAGGTACTCGGACATCCAGGCGCAACCCTAGCACACCACCTCAACCGACGGTACAGCTCCTCATTTGCCCTCGCCTGCATCGAACCGCATAGCCTGGGCTCGAATCAGGAACCGACCTGCACCATACAGTTGGTCATTCAGCCAGGGCGCAGTTCCCAGCCAGCGAATGACGCACACTCCTGCCGCCGCTCTGTCATCGTCAGAAATCGAATCACCTTGTACCAGCAGCCCGTCTTCGGGGGTCTCGTGGCATCCTCCCACTTGACCGCGTGACAACACAACTTCTTTTTCTGCCCAACCCGGCAACGAACAAACACTGGCCATTACCGCTGCAAATTCAAACCGCCATTTATATACTCTCCCATCGCTTGTTGATTAGTCGACCCAGTCTATAGACTCGTGTGTCAATCGATCGAGGCGAGCTCCCCGCATTGAACGAACGCTTCCCCAGCTTGCCCCGCTAGTGGGCCTGTTCGAAATCAACCTTCCGAATCGCTTCACCTCCGAGTCGTCGCGGCTTGACGCTCAACGACCGAAGATGCCTTCGTCTCAGTCTCAATCCCCCAGGAGGGGCCGTCCGATGCCATCAATCGCCCAGAGCACCGAATCTGCACCGTCGAATCCCAAGGAGAGAGGCGTACGCAGTGAGCGATCGCCGCTGCTCTCCCCCAACAGCGATGACGAAGGCTACTTTGACCATCACGCGGTACTGGCAGCGCAGCAGGAAGATACGCAGCAGACCAAGAGCGTATGGTACCTGATTCTCCTGACAATTAGTATCGGAGGTTTGCAGATTGCCTGGTCCGTCGAGTTGTCCAATGGGTCTCCCTATTTGCTATCCCTCGGCCTGAGCAAGTCGTTGATGGCCCTGGTGTGGATTGCTGGCCCGCTTACCGGCACCTTGGTTCAGCCCTATGTCGGTATGCTCAGCGACAATTGCCGACTCCCGTGGGGAAAGCGGAAACCCTTCATGGTCGGCGGGGCTATCGCGACCATCATCTCTCTCATGTTCCTGGCATGGACCAGAGAAATCGTGGGTGGTATCATGGGCCTTTTTGGCGCTGATATTGAATCTGTCGCCGTCAAGAACACCATTATCTGCGTGGCTGTGGTTGGCATCTACGTCCTCGACTTCGCCATTAACACCGTGCAGGCTTCTATTCGGGCCTTCATTGTGGACTGTGCTCCAGCTCACCAGCAAGAAGCTGCCAATGCCATGGCGAGTCGCATCACCGGCTTCGGAAACATTGTCGGTTACATTGCTGGCTATATCAATCTCCCTACATACCTTTGGTTTTTGGGCGACAGTCAGTTCAAGGTGCTCTGCGCCATCGCCAGCATTGCTCTGGCGGCAACCATTGCAGTAAGCACCACATTGATCAAGGAGCGCGACCCCCGGCTGGAAGGCCCGCCGACTGCGGGCAAGCCTGGCGTATTTTCTTTCTTCGGCAAGATTTTCACCTCCATCAAGCGTCTGCCGCCTCAGATCAGGAGAGTCTGCCAAGTCCAGCTGTGCGCATGGGTTGGCTTCTTCCCGCTCCTCTTCTACACCTCCTCGTACATTGGCGAGATTTACGTCGAGCCGTACTTGGAGGCCAACCCCCACATGACGCCGGAAGAACTCGACCAACTGTATGAGAGAGCAACTCGTATTGGAACTTTTGCCCTGCTCATCAACTCCGTTGTCAGCTTGCTCACGAACGTCTTTCTCCCCTTTTTCGTCGCGCCTACGTACGACAGCCAGCCACTGGGTGACCTCCCAGGAGACAGTGACAGCGGAGAGTTTGGTGATGAGAAGGCTTCCTGGCTGGATCGCCTGCAGATCCCTGGTTTCACCCTCAAGCGGGCTTGGTTCGCATCCCTGATTCTCTTCTCGGGCGCCATGTTCTGCACCGTCATTGTACGTACGGTAGAAGCGGCCACGGCCCTGATCGGTTTGGTTGGTATCACCTGGGCAATGACACTTTGGGCACCCTGGGCCATCATCAGCGCCGAGATCAGCCGGAGGGATGCAAAGATTCGCCAGAGAAAGCAACGGCTCAGCAGAGGCGATGGGCCGGCGTCACCCTCTACCATCGACTCTACTGCCGACTCAGAACAGACCGATATGAGCGATAGTGAGGAGGCAGACCAGGCCGGCGTCATCTTGGGCATTCACAACATGGCCATCGCTGCGCCTCAGATTATTGCTACTGTCGGATCCAGCATCATCTTTAGAATTTGGCAGAAGCCTCGCGGCACCCCAGGCGATCACTCCATTGCTATCGTGCTGGCACTCGGCGGTATCGCCGTGCTTATTTCTTCCTTCTTCGTTGCTAGCATCAAGGAAAGTGCATCCTTGCCAGCAGACGCCATGATTGCGGCTGAGGAGGGTGATCCCGCCACTCCCGGAATTCGTCCTGGCACAGCCCGCAGCCGTAATAAGAGCTACGAGCATCTCCCGCGAGCCAGTATCAAGCGTGCGACCCTTACGAGGAACAAGAGTTTTGGTGGTGCCGAGTATTAAAAGTGCTTGGAATACACTCACTTGGCGTTCGGTTTATGCGGCGCTGGAACAAGGGGAAACGAGGTTTCTCTCTGCAATTGGATCGGACTTGGGAAACGTGCAAGGAGTTTGGGCATATGAAATGACCACCGAGACGGAAAAGGTTCTGCCACGCCCTTTTTTTTTCCTTCTCCTTTTTCCACTTTCCACTTTTGATTTTTTATTCAGGATGTCTTTTTTGGATTAGTTGAGGAGCGCATCAAGGGAAGCAACAGCGATAAGATGAATGGGAAGGCATGGAGGGGCGCTTTTCCTTTGTCCTTCACCACCACTTCTAGAATGCGAGAGGAGGACGGTCATGAGGTTGTAGACCACGATACATAAGAAGCAGCTTTGCCTGCTTAGAATGATAACGGCACGCAGCCGACACGATAACATCCCGAATGCAGCGATTATGATGAACAGTTAGTGAGGTTGGGATGTTTGTTTAGATGAAGTCACATGGAGTTGTCAAGCATTGATGAAGGTATTCTTTTTTCCAATTATACCCACAACTACCGTAAGGCCACCTTTGCGTCACTCTTTTCGTACAATCATCTCAGTTCGAAGGGTGGCTACTTGTCCACCCTTCATACATTTGTAAACGGCAACCCATACGATGTGGGAAAACTGCCCCCGACCGATTCATGCCACAAAATCAAAATTGGTTAACTCCTTTCGGGGGGTTCAGACTGAAGCCCCCCCCGACCCAATGCATTCTTTCTCATGTCGTATTTCTTTCCCCCACTTTCGTCCTCATAGCTTTGCTTGCTTGCTGTTCCGCAATCAGGTGATACTTACCGAACCCTATTATGCTCGGTAGAAAAAGAAGAAAAGGGTTCAATATTGACGTCGTCTCGGTCGTAAAAGAGAAGATAATGTACGGGGCGATTCTCGTCATGTAAGAACTGTTCGTCGTTTACGGTTGCGGCAGGGTTTTCTAAAAAAGACTCTTTTTCTACCTCTACGCCAGAGGCAACTTTAATCGAACATATCGGCGCCCGTGGGGCGACTTGCGCTACTCCGTCTACGCTCCTGCCTGCGTCTGCGACGATTATCGGCTGCTGCGGTTTCGACGGGGTTAGTCTTCAGAACGTCTGCCGCACTGGGCGAGGGGCTCAATTGGCTCCATGTACCGTGGGTATTCTCGCTGCCTATGCTCGAGACGTTTCCATCGCCCATCATTACGCCCGGTGGCGGCGGCGGCGGGCCGCCAGAGTAGTATGCCGAATCCTTTGGTTGTCGTCCTGCGGCGAAAGCAGGGTTCGGCGGTGGGAGGCTGCCGTCTCTTCCTCCTGTTTCTGCCAGTCGTTCTGCCGCTGATTCTGCCCTCCTCTGACTTGAGTCCCGGCGGTACCGTCGTCCACTGCCGACTTCGCTTCCGTAAAGACTGCTTACAGACCCGGCGCGCCTCCGCCTATCCCCGCGTCTGCTAGCGGCGGCTTCTTCCTCCGTAAGCCTCCGCAGCGTGACGTTCCTGTCCTTGTCGTCGTGGACACGGACCTTGACGCTCACAGGTTGCGAGCGCTCGGACTGAGCGCGGTGGCGACGGGCGTGCTCTTCGGCGGCGAGAACGCTCGCTGATGCGACGGCGGCAGCGGCGGCTTCTTCCCCAGCGCGCCTGCGCTTGGAAGAGTCTCGGCGTCGGGGTCGGCCGCTGGGCGAGCCGTAGACGTCGGTTTCGGATTCACGGTGGAGGACACCTGCTGGGTCGGGGGGCATCGAGGGCATGCTGATGCCGGACTCGACGACTTCGTGTCTGGAGAAGGTTGTGCGGGAGTGGTCGCCGACAGGGTAAATTCCTGGTCCTCCTGGTGGGGGTGGGGGGCCGGCGGAGAGGGGTGGCATCGGTGGGCCTCCGTAGCCAGTGCCCGGAGGTCGAGGTTCCAATTCGGATGATTCGGTCATTTGTGTGATTTCGGTGCTCAAAGCAGACATGGGAGGTCGCGGCCGACGCCCGCTCATGCGGCGGGAGCCTCTCCGGTCGCGGGAGGGAGAGTGGAAGCCGTCTCCCGTGTACCTCGACCCTGTGATACCAGATCTCATGTCCTCCTCTTCACGAATTCTCTGCTCCTCGGCGCGCTTCGCCTTTCGGTCGGCCATCTTCTTGGCGAACCATCCTAGGCCAAGGCCAGCGAGGATGCCCTTTCCGGCCCCACTGGCGGCGCCAGCTGGTGGGCCTTCATGCCGTCTAGACGGGCTGACGTACGATGAGTATTCCGAGTCCTCGTAGCTGTACTGTGACCGGGTTCTGGCGTGCGGTGGACGATTGGTTCTCGGTTCGGCGGCGCTTAGGGCCGCGGCTGCCGCTGTCGGCCCCCCAGGCGATGGCAGGATTGGGCCATCGCGGGGTCCACGTCTTGGTGGCGGGGTGTCCTCGGTCCAGTCCGTGTAATCAGTATACTCACTCGTAGCGGGATAGCTTCGACTCGGGCGACGTCTCGGGGTCTCTACCGAAACGGCGGAGTACTCTTCGTCATAGGTCCGCTTTTCCTTGCGCTTCATCAGATTCGACACGAGCTTGCCAGCGCCGAGAACAGCACCAATGCCGGCCAGCTTAGACAGGAAACCTCCCGACTTCTTGTCGTCCCTGCGAGAATCAACTTCGGTGAACTTTTCGTCTTCGAGGTATGTACCCGAGCCCCTTCTGGACGTGAGATAGCTGGCGGATCCACGTCGTGAACCGATAACCTCCGGTCCACGGCTGCGGCTCCTTGATCGCGATCGTTCCCGGCTGAGCTCCTTCTCCTTCTCCTTGTGCTTCTTGCGACTGAACAGAGCGGCGATGGTCGCGCCCGCCGCGAGAGGCGCCAGCCATTTCCGGTCCTTTTTGGGTTTCTCGGTGTAGACGTCGCTGTAGTACTCCGACTCGGTGATGCCGCTTGGGCCCTCAGAGCGGCCTCCGCTGATGTAGGTCTCACGGCCACGGTGGTGGTCTGCACCTTCGGCGCGATAGCTCAGGATAAAGTAGACGAGCAGCAGGAAAGCCAACCAGAGGGAGAAGATGATGAAGGTCCACTTGGGCGAGCCGTAAAGGGTCAAACCGAGCGGGACCTGAATGATGCCGAGGAGCGCAATGAGTCGACCGCTCCAGCGGTGGAACATTTTGCGAAGCGAGCGTCCCCTGATATGTCTCACAAGCCGGCCGCCGATGATTTGGAGGAGGAACATGATGAAGATGGCCAGGCCGATTGCGTGGTGGGGGTTGGTCCAGCTTCGTTCGGGCCCAACGGCGAACCAGCCCAGTACGAAGACGGCGACGAGCATAAGGGCCGCGAGGATATTGAGTTGGGCATGATATGGTATCGCGTATCCCGGTTTCGCCGTGTAGAAGCGGGCTGTGAAGACGGATAATGGTACGATGAGGAGGAAGATGATGGCGGCCATGACACCATGGGCGAGAATGAGAGTATGGTATTGGGCGACGGTCGAGAAGCGATTGCCCATGCCTGTGGGTTGTCGCGTGTTAGTCAGGCAGCTGCCACATCGGAAACGCTGTGTTCGAGATCAAAGTAGGCTTACCATTGTACTGCATCGTCTCGAAATTGAGGCCGACGAGGTTGGGCAACAGGAAGGTATTCTTGCTAAAGTCCCATGTGCCATCGCCAACCGTCATGGTGTTGGAGTCGTAGGAAGCGACGCCCGGCGCCGAGTACCCATCTGCCGGCGCCATGATGGCGACGACGGGCAAAGCGGTCCTTCAGTTCGGTGCCGGTAGATTTAAGGAATGCGGGATTGTCTGATTGCGTTTGGCGTCTCTATCGTGGGTGACTCGACTCGACTCGAAAGAAAGGGACCCCCGAAGAATGTGTTTGTCTTGGAGGGGGGGGGGTTGGGAGGGTCCCTATGAGCCGGTCGGTGAGACGTCCGGAGGTAAGTGGGGGTGGTTTCTCGGTGTTGGTGAAAGTGTGAAGCAAAAGAAGGCGATTATTCTATTGCTTCAACTCCGGGGGGGAAAAAAGTGAAGGAAAACAAAGAAATCTCTCAAGATAGACCTCGAGGTACTATCTTTAGTGAAGAGAGACTAAGGTAAGGTAAGGTAAGGTGAGGCAGGCAGTCCCGAGAAAAAAGAGAAAGACGGGCGGGAGTGAGAGTGGGTTGGCCAGTCTGTGAGCTCACCACCCAGCAGCCAGCGGCGGCAGCAAGCAACCGGGTTCCAGTTCCAAGTGTCAGCGAAAGACGGTCCTTGCAGAAGGGCAGACTTGCAGACGTGGTTGCGCGGGGTAACGGGTTCCTTCTTGGCGCCACACCCCCTGGCGCAGCGACGGGTCAGCAGCTTATCGATAGGCTGAAGCTCTTATCACACGTGATATAATCCACTCATTTAGCTGACTTCTCCATAGAATCGCGCAAACGGGTGGCTGGGGGTTAATTAATTTTTGGATGAACCTGGCAGGCGCGACTACCTTTCCATTCCTGCCTTCTTTTTCTTGTTGTCAATGATTGATAATAGTGATTCCCTCGATACACGATGAAACGGCGAGGAAAGAAGACATCACAAAGAGGGAAAAAGGTCTCGGATGTAGCAATGAGTCATCCGTACCCGAAAGGAAGCTGCATCGTAACGGAACCATCGACCAGCAAACAAGATGCAGCCTGAGCCTGAGCCTGGATGCTTCAACATCAAAGCGCTGTCGGATGTCCCACCGTCGGACACGTCAAGCTGCACAAGCGCAAGTGGCTTTGCAACGTCACCCAACCTCACACACCTTCGCCCGACTCCGTTTTCCCAGCCATTCAATAAGCATCCTTCTATTTTTTTTATTTTTTTTTCACCCTTCCTTGCGTTTCCCCTCCATTGAGGCTGACATTCCGCATTTACTTACCCCTGAAGACGAGAGCCGCAAACCTGCATCACGTAGCATCACTTTTCCCCTTTTCCATGCATGCCTTGGTAAACATAGTCACCGCCTTTTGATTGATTTGCCCTGAACGCACTTTTCTCCATCTTATACGGGCCGGTCCGCTTCTTCGCCCTTGCATCTTTCCAAGGTCCTCCGCCTTCGTCCTCCCGTCTGGTCTCCGCCGAGCTGAGTTTGTTTCAAGAACAGACCGCGACTCTGAAATCATGAGGCTCGCCGTTGTCGCCACCTCGAAGCTGTGGAGGCCTCTGGGCCGGTTTGCCAGGCAAGGAAAATCCACTCTTGGGCACGAACAGTGTTTGTGTGATTTTCGGAGTCAAGGACACTTTGAGAACCCCGCCGTCTTGCAAAGGTCATTCCGGAAACACGGCGAATGCAGAAGGGCAAGAGTCATTCGCTCTCTCAACAGAAATCAGACTTCAGATATCACCATTCGGGGCTATAGCATACGAGTACCCGTACAGACATGAGCCTGAACTAACCAAATCAGTGGTGCCCGTTCGAAATCCCATTCGAGCCCTGCCCGGGCGCCCTCGCCAACACACTCCCGTACCTCGAGTAGTCGTCCTTCGCTGACGGCACAAAGTGCTCAGGCGTTAACTTGGCACGCGGCTCAAACACGCAGATAATGTCCGACCCGCCAAACAAGAACGTCGAGATCTCATCGCCCTTCTTCAGCTTATCTCCCACGCGGACCGATAGCTTGACCGACGAGACCATGGCCATGCCAATCGGCAGCACGGCCACCTTGCCGAGCACCGGGTTGTCAATGACCACCAGGCCCCTCGTCTGGAGGAACTGGTACCCCGGGGAATCGGGCGCCTCGGGCCGGCAGGCGGGGTCCTTCTTAATGTCCTCGTCTGTCACGAAGAGCTTGCGGATCGGACGACACTGCTGGTCAACTTCGAGGTACGCCGCGCCTTGGATGTTCTTGGCCTCGATGACCGTCCCGGAGACGGGCGCGTGCTGCCGATGGTAGTTGAACGTGTTGAGGAAGGCGTGCATCCAGACACCACCGTGGAAGCAGTCGGCGTACTCGCTACCTTGAAGCAGGGCACCAATGGTCCAGGGGAGTCCCTTGATCTCGATGATGCCCGTATCCTGAACGTTGACGATGCTCTGGTTATGAAGCGAGTTGTCGTAGGTGCAGTCCGCCGGGTAAGTAATGACCCTATCATCATCCTTGTCCGCGATGGGCCTCACACCCGGCTTGAGGTGGCGAGAGAAGAAATCGTTGAAGGTGCGGAAGCCGCCCTCGGGGATGAGCGCCTCCTCCTTGATCATGTACTTTGGCGAGTCGACAAACGTCTGGAACGTCTTTTCGTTGATGGACGCAGTCGTGTCCATGAAGAGCCCGATGAGCTGCGCGAACACTACGATCCAGCTGGAGAGTGGGGTCAGGGGCAACCCGACCGAGCTTGGGTGGACAAGTGTCTGTTTGCCCAGCAGCGGCTCCTGGTCGAGGATGAAGTAGAACAGGCACAGGATGTCGTACACATCCTTGGCCTGGACGTTCTCCGTGGGAGTCCACTTGAGCATGTCGTTGGCGAACTTATAGAACGTGGCCGCGTCACTGATGCCCATTTTTTCCATGAAGTCTGGGATTTTGCCCATTGCCGATTGAACGGCCTTGGTCAGGTCGTCCTTTGGGATGAGGGACATGAAGAGGATGATGACGGGGTTGAAGTGGATGATTCCCTCGTCTGCGATGGGCTCGTAGGTGTTGGGGGGCATGAAGGAGCCCCATGATGACTTGCCGCCTCTGAGAACGGAGCCTGGGACAGATCCCGGCTTCTTGACGTAAGGGTTTGAGGGGATCGGCTGGAAGCCGACTTCCTCGTCAGTGGCGGTGGGAAGACCAGGCATGATGGGTGATGTTGTTTTGCTGGAAAACTGGAGGAAGAGTGAAGAAGGTAAGTGTGATAACTAAGGTTCCCAAGTTGGAATCCAAAGCTTGATGGTCAAGATGAGTCTGATTCTATTCATCTTTACCAGAGGATATCAGGCTCGTTTTATAGACAAGCCAGACCGCTCCCCTTCGATCTCCAAGACGTGCAAATTGGAGGCCAAGAGCTGTCAACGTCAACGTCGACGGGAGAGGGAAGCAGGAAAGGCCACTAGTCACGGCCCGTTGCCGTACCGCTGCCGGAGGACCTGAGACCTACTTTCGGGAGCGGGAGAAATGGCTCCTGCTGTCTCACTTCCCCTCTTGTTGATCAACGGCACCCCGCGTAGATGTCTCGTTACTACCGTTCCTTGACGCGTAACTTGGATGATGCCAGGTTGGAGTACAAGATGATTGTGTCTGTTCAGCTTGGTGGGGGTCTTGAGGTTTATTCGGTATGGAATGGTGCTGATCTTTCGTGATCTGCGAGGGATTTGTTTCTTGCGTCTCCTTACAGCGAGAGAGTTACGCCTTGTTTTCCTGAAGCGATGTAGAACCCGCGGGTTGGTGCAGATGTCAACCGAGTCTGGCAAATTGTCGTGTAAGTCGAGACGGAAAGCAATGCCGGCGCAGCAAGTGTCGCGGGCTACTACGGCGTGTCATAGGTTTGGACAGTGGTGGATATTGGACTAATTGGTCCTCGTATTTTCCCAACCCCGTAAACGGTGAGACATCTAGATGCAGGTTTCACTTCTACATGAACTTTACCACGACTCCCCTCAGTTGGCTTCACCGCACCGTCGAAAGATATAGCTATAAGGAGATGGAAATAGTCCCGATCGGATTATCTGCTTTCTTGGCGCCATGGAGCTGAAAGTTAAAGCCAATGGTTCTGGGCGGAGGGACAAATTAGGACGGCTGATCACTGCTCCTGTTTTGGCCGCAGCTGAGACTCTTGAACTGAGCCAGACAGACCTGCTGAGCTACTCGTTGTATCCTCACGAGCCCGGAAGTATTGTATTGTTGAGAGCCATGTTACGTGGAGTACTGTGGAGGTACATTCTTCTTCTATCAATGCGACTGAGAGCAAAACCAGCTCACACTTGAGCTCTGGAGATCATGGCATCTTGTCGACCGCCGTGCGGCGTGCCCTCGATATAGCTTTTTTGACATCGCGGACCTCTGGCTTGGCGATGCCATAACCTGAGAAGCGGACACATTTAGATGCCTTTTAAATCCAGAACTACACTCAAGCCGAGCGCTTGATGTGTTCTTCCCATACCTAACAGAGAACTCGCATCAAGTACCGCTAGAAACCTACCTTCACGGCGTTGCTGTCAGCCTATATGTAAGACGCGGCTGGTTTGACACCAAGCCTCTGACTCAAAACAACCCAAGCACCGATGACGAGTATCTTCCTGAACGCTGCGGGATCGCCCTCATCACCAAATGCAGTCTCAAGACACTCTGAGACGATCCCGAAGTCAACGAAACCGAGGCGGTCAACCGCCTCTTTCGTTAGCAAACCCCGAAACATTCGCTGTATAGGTCCCCCAACGGGCCGTTTCCACGGTGACGAGTACGGGTGCTTCTTGCGGTTATAAATCTCGTCCGTGATGAAAGGTCGCCCCGCCTCCCGCAGGATCTTCTTGTCAATGATCCGGTCCCGAACAGCAGCCATGCTCTCCCAGAACAAGCTCTGAGGCGCGACTTTCTTCTTCTTCTGGTTCTCGTCGTCGTTGGAGCCTACAGCATTCTCGTGCTTATAGCTCATCTTGACGCTCGGCGGGAGCCCGTTGACGTACTCCGCCAACTCATGGTCCAGAAACGGGAGACGTGCCTCGATACTATGCGCCATCTCGGACCTGTCGCCCAGACAGGTCAAGACCATGTTCGCCATGGAGGACTTGACGAAGACGTACAGAGCTGAGTGGAGACTATGCCAGCGGTTCTGAATCTTCTCCTGGGCGTCGGGGGGGATAGAGCCGAGCAGGGCTGCGTAGACGCCGGACACGCTCTGTCTGTCCCTCACCCACGCGGCGAACACGTCCGACGAGGGACACGAGCGCCACTGGATGAAGAACACGTCCAAGCCCGCGAGAGCGTCAAAGTCAGTGCTCTCCTCGGTTCGGGCGTGATCGAACATGCCCATGCCTTTGTACATGCTCCGCAACTGCGCTGCGGCGGATTTGCAGAGCGCTTTTCGCAGCTCGGTATCCTGTACCAGTTCCGTTGACGGCAGGGCATCGTCGGGCTCACGGAGGAAATCAGAGACTAGGAAAGGGTACCCGGCAAAGTGCTCGTCTGCGCCCTCGCCCGTCAGAACCACGGGAATCCCTTGCTGGCGGGGCAGCTCTGACAGGGCGTACTTCCCGACGCTGTTCATGTCGAAGTGGTGGTGCTCGGTGTGGTAGACGGAGTCGGCGAAGTGCTTTGCTAGTTCTTCCTCGTCCATGACCTTTTTTACTATGTTTAGATCGAGCCATTCCGCGGTGCGTTCTGCAATGTCTTTTTGAATGTCGTCAATATGGGATTTGGACGTGGAAGCGAGCTCCGGGACTTACCATATTCATTGTACTCTGAGTCAGAGGTAAAGGAGATGCTGAAACAAGTGATTCTGTCCTTGATGTCCTGGCTTCCCAATCTCACCCCCCTCTCTCGAACCAACTGGGTGGTTATACCCGCCACAATGGAAGAATCGAGACCGCCTGATAGATAAATCCCGACTGGGACGTCTGCTTGTAGGCGGAGACGGACGGCATCTACCAAGCGCTCGCGAACTCCGTCGATCATATCATCCATGCTGCGTGTCTCCTTGACAGTCTACGAAGCTCATCAGTCTTTAGAGTCATCGCCTGGCTCACGTATCAGTGTGAGGTCGCTTACCTTGTCAGCATACTCAGCATCCCAATACCGATGCTGCGTCACGCCCCCGTCCCGACCGAACCGCACCCAATGCCCCGGCAACACCTTCTTCACCCCCTTGAACAGAGTACCTTCGCCTAAAACAGCCGCGCCGCTGGAGATGGCATCGACATCCCACTCAGGCTCCCAACCCATGGGCAGAAACCCCTTGATCTCCGAGGCGATCAAGAGCTTAGCTGGCGTCTCGTTACTGTATGTCCAAAAAAGAGGCTTGATGCCGAAGCGGTCCCTCGCGGCGATGACGTCCCCAGACCTTTCATCGTACAAGACGAAAGCAAACTCGCCGCGCAGATGCTCGAAAAGACTGGGTGCCCCGTGGTGTTGATACAGGGCTAGGATGACCTCGCTGTCACTCCTCCCGGAAAAGTTGTAGTCGAACTCTGCGGTGCAGCGCCCGCGTATAGCAACGTGGTCGTAGATCTCGCCGTTGACTACGACGTGGACTTGTTCGTCCTCGCTGTGCAAGGGCTGAAGGCCCGTTGGAGAGAGGTCTATGATTGAGAGGCGGGCATGGCCGAGGCCTTTGTGTCTGCGTCAACGTTGGGCACATAGCACATAAGAGTAGTCCAGCGCAGCTGAGATGAGGCATACCGACGGTAGCGTCGCTGTTTATCCATGTTCCTTCTGCATCTGGGCCTCGATGTTGAAGGAGAGATAGGCTTCGTGTTAGTTTGCCCTCCACATCAGAGCGTCGTTCCGATGAATCATTCTGCGGGCTGCCGGATTGGATGATGGCTGTTATCCCGCACATTCTTGAGATGAAGGTCTCTGTGATTGTTTTCAGATGAAGTTCCTGCTAGATATGCAAGTGAGCTAAAGAAGATATGAGAATAGTTTGTGAGAGAGAAGTGACCGAAAAGCGAAGGCGAAGCATGTTTAGAAGTTTCCAATCACTATCGACATTGCTCGGATGACGAGTTGAGCCTGTCAGCAAGCATTTCTCCCCGGTCTGCACTGAACTTTCTTCATCGGAGTGACGTTGAGTTGCATCCGCGCCGTTGGGAAGTCAGAGTTTCTCACAGAATGATCAAGGTTTCGGCATCTGGGTACAGGGTAAGTGGAAATGCGTTGCCTGCGCACTAGGCCAGTTGTACTGGAATAGCGTTGTCTGAAACTCTCGGCTCCGTTGTCTCCTCTTCTCCAAGAATTCGATTATCCGCGGAATCCATGGAGAGAGAAAGAGGGCGCATGGGTCGGGGCAGGCTAGGTTAACCGCGAAAGTTCCGTATTGCTACTTGACGAGTGACCCTCAGACGTTTGAATCATGTTGCAAATGGTGAGAATTAGCCAAAATGGAGAGCTTTTCCGGGAGGAAGCTGCCAAAGCCAGCCGTCGATGAAAGTCAATCAAGGTTTCGTTCAAAGTTTAGAACTGACTTCAAACTACCAGTCTGTGACTTCCTGAAGTGTGCAAAGGATACGAGCCATGCAGACAAACTCGAGTCAATCGCTTCCCCAGTCCCTCAAAAAGGGAATTGATCTCTGTTCTAGTCTTTAGTCGATATATTTGAATACCGCTGACAAGTCAACAACTAGTTAAGAACCACTGTCGGCAGGAATTCCTGGCTTAGGCCCGTATACAATACGCGGTGGCTGGGCCCTCATGGCACTCCCCACGAACCTGTCAATACTCCAACTTCGAGCCTCGTCGTCCCGCAATGAGACAAAGGCCTGGTGCTTGCTCTTTTGAGCCGCTTCCCAGAGTTCCTTCATCGCGAACTCCCTCTGACGAAAGCGTCGCACGTTGAAGAAGTTATTGACAAGTTGTTGTAGTCGTACACGCATAAACCCTTTGTATCTTCCGGATGTCTCTGGCGACGATGGTCCATCGATCGTGGTAGACAACTCGTCCGCGTCATCGTAGTCGGGGTCAATGGCCCAAACCCACATATCGTCGACGAGCCCCTGCGCACCAAGCACCGATCCGACGCTTTGTTTGTCTACAACCAGGAACACGTCTTGCAGAATACCGTCTTCCAAACCACCGGTTCTTGATTGCATAGGTGCGCTGGACACTACGTCTTCCCGTATTGTTTGACTCTCCAGGCCTGGATCTCGGATAGACTTGAACCGTTCGCGCAATACGCGGAACTTGGCGAGTCTCTCTTCGGTCTCTCTTTCTTCTCTCTGGACCTCATCGATAACCAGTCCACTGATATCATGCTTCCCGTCGCCTTTGTCGACAATATGACTGTCATCATTCTCGACGTCTGCGTTAACACTGCTAGGCCACTCCAGCTTCTGCAGCTTCCACTTGTAACTGATGACACTGCTCCCCGCCCCAATTGCGCCGCGGCCGTGGAACAGAACACCATCTCTCCGAGACGTGTACCTCTCGGCCTCCTCGTTGTTGGCAAACGCCATTGGGTCATTGAAGATGCCATACCCCCAGACCTTCTCCCCCTTGTCCTCTTCCCACAAGCGTCTCACCCACGGATGCGCTTTAGACAAGGCCATTTCAGTCTCCTGTCTCTGTCTCGCGCGCCATACCTCGTTCTCCCGCCGCCAGTGCTCGGCAAGAGCGTTGTCGATGGCCTTCTCCTCATTTTCTGCATAGAGCGTGTGTCGCACCGCCCGGAGTTGCTCCTCGGCTTGTCCATGTTCCTCTTCTGAAATCCTTTTGGGTCCCATTATCAATCCGGTTGCCAGTGAGATCTCTTGCTCCTCGTCTGGCGAGATATGCAGCCAGTAGCGGTTCTTGAGGAGGGAGACCTCTGCGGCGGTCAGCTGTGAAGGTGACTCGACGGCACGCCCAAGGAGACCCTCTTTGGAGAGCTTAGTCGATTTCACAATGTTTGATTCTTGAATTTCGCGATCCGGAAAGTCGAGAATGCGTCGTTGGTCCCGGGGAGTGAAGGATGGCAAGGCTGCGTTCTGACCAAGCGCGGATTCTTCCCATGCCGGAAAAGACTGGATCAGCTCGTCGGCGCCGTCAAACTTTCGAATGACGCGCATGAACGACCTAATGTGATTTTCCATACTTTGCGAAAGCGACGAAGGTATTTAGATGTGATTCGTTACAGAAGCTGTAGTTTTCTAACGTTTTGAACACCGGCCATTTGTTCACGTGCGCATGGTTGTAGACCAAGTATTAGCGGACGCCTCACAACGTGCTTAAACTCGTGCATTACCGTATTCGACTCACGATTCCCGCCTATGCCCCTATTTTGAATAATCGCACAAACCAAACCGAATATCCGAGTCTTGACGTCAACTGCGTATCACATTGTTCTCTATTTGATACTCAAATGCTTGGATCGACCAATGGTATAATATTTGTTCATGAAAGGTGTAGATACATGTTACATGTTGGCTTATAATGTACAAAGAAACGTCTCAACCCCCGAGTCATCGTAGACCACGGCACTTTAGCAGTTGGTCTGGATGCCCTGAGAGTACATGGCAAAGGAATCGGCATTGTTCAGTGCCTGGGAGGTGCTGAGAGAGTCGACGCAGCCCTCGTAGCCGTAGCAGACATCGTCGGTTCCGCCAACCTCGGTCAAGTGGGTGGACTCGTGAACCAGGACGTACGGCTGGTCAGTGGCGCGGCACGAGGTGGTAGAGGCGGGAAACTGGAAGAAGTAGTCGCAGACGACAATATAGCCGCCGCTGCCGGGCTGAGCGTAGGCGACGACGCCATCGCTGCAGAAGTTGCCGACGTCGGTGCAGTAGAGTCCCGCGCCGCTCGACGTGCTGCCGAGGAGGGTGGCGGCCTTGCCAAAGACGCCGGCGACGGTGGTCTTCGTGCTCGACGTGGTGGACTTGAAATATTGCTGCATGCGGGTGCCGGCGGTAGCAGCCGTCTGGGCGTTGGTCGCGTACGTCTTGGCCTTGGAGAGGGCGGCGGTGACGGCCGTCTTCTTGGTGCCGGTGCAGTCGGACTGGATGGTGACGCGCTTGGCGTTCAGGGACTCATGGAAGGCGGCGTGGACCGAGGCGGCCTGGGTGCCGTCGACGGTGGCCTGAAGGACGCCCGAGTCGAAGACGACCTGGCCGGCGATCTTGTTGCTGCCCTCCTCGGCGTAGCGGAGAGATCCCGTGCTGGAGATGTTGAAGTCACCGCCGCTGCTCAGGTCGTGGACCTGGGCGGCGTCCCACTGGACCTTGACGACCTCGCCGGCCTCGATGGTCTGGAAGGCAGAGTCGGGGAGATCGGCATCGTGGACGTAGACTCGTACACCGGTGAAGGCAACCTTGCTGACTGTTGACGAGGTTAGACAATGTTTACATTGGAACTACAACCGGGAATTGTATGAGACTTACTACCACTGCCATCGACCGAGCTCGTCGAGAACTGGGCCTTCTCAACGGGCGATCCATCGAGGATCGAGCCCGCCTTGAGAACACGAAGGGGTGCGCTGCCGGTGTTGGTGATGCTGGCCTTCAGCTCGCTGTTGCCAACTTGCTCGATTTTCACATCGAGGGGCTCCGCACGTCTGCCCAGGTTGACGGCGGCGCCGTTGGCGAGAGCGGCGAGGCAAGAAACGACAGCGGCGGCCTTCATGGTGGCTGAGGTATGTGGTGAGAATTTAAAGAGAGTATAGGACGTAGCCGTTGGAAGATGGTGGACTCTTCTCAAGAACGATGAAGGACGGCAGCGAGAGACGAAGGCTTTATGGCAACTCCGTAACTCCTGGGAGGGAAGCCCCTTGACCTGAAGGTAACCCTTCTCGGGACCTCAAACGAAGAGTAAATTGCATCACGGAGAAGAAACTTCAAGGATACGGGTGTGAGGCCGGGGATACGTTCCACCACGGAGAATTTCCCAGTGGTTCGAGATGCGGGTGCGAACTTGGGAAGGATGGAAATTATCCGATCATGTCCAAAATAGAGACGAACAGGAAAGCCGACACCCCAAGGCTTTCCACCAACCGAAGCGCGCAGCCGCGGATGGAGGGGGATTGGTCCAGCGGAGTCATCTCGTAACGGATCTTCATAGACTACTATAACTGAAGCTATCCCCAGCTGCTTCGTTGTACGAATGGGAACCATGGCTGGGAGGCGGCTCCCACTCCTTTAGCAAGCTTACTATGAGCCTTAAGAGGCCGTTATGGAGAAGGAGGTGCCGGGTTCGGAGTTTAAAGTAAATAGAGTAGTGGGCCGTCTCGACTCTGATTAGCTGTTTATTTTCACTACCGACAGCGACACACCAAAACGTGGCCTTGGCAAGGTCTTGGCTGCGTGCCGTTTTGATTTAAACAACAGTGGCGCTGCTTTGATTCAGACTCGCTCAGGACAACTTTTAATCTCGGCAGCGACAACCTCATACGCGCGTGTACGTAACAAATGTTTGCCCCGCATTCATGCTCGGTCTAGCCCCAATCTCCTACAAACGTCCGTTCCCTCATGATTCTCATCGATTCTGCGACCTGCCTAAAGGAGCATTAAACCCGTTGACGATCCAATCAGCCATGTTCAATTTGCCTCCTCTTCCCTGCGTAGTGGACTCTGAGAGACTTTGTCAGGAGACTGTCGTGGCACAACATCGTCATCGCTCTCATTCTCTCTCACAACTCTCTTGGCCCCCTGAACTCATCATCACCTCTGCAGCAACCCAACAGAAAACGTTGCCTCCATCACCACCGACTCAGTGAATTTTGAAGTCCTCGTGTCTGAAGGAAACTCACTCAACTCTACATTGCTTCTTCACACTTATCAATCACCCCTAGTCAAAAAACGAGTCATCATACATGAGCCCTCATCACCGTAGCCGAGGGCCTCTTTCATTCCCGACCGCCCTAACAATCGGCGCCGTCATCGTACTCACACTCTACTTCTACTCTCCACTGCAATTCTTCACAATGGCATCTGACTCCTCATCCTTCCTCGACAACCTCGAGGTAAGCCTGTCTCAGTCCGGCACGTCACCCCCGAAAGTCTCAGTGTCCATCAAAAACACACACCCGGACACCCTCGTGACGCTCCTGAAATGGAACTCCCCGCTTGACCCCGCCGTCCTCGGCCTGGGCCAAGTGTCCATCCAACCCGCCGGGGCCTCCGAGCCGATCGAGACCCACGCCATCATGATCAACCGTAAGATGCCGCCTGGCGCCGAGTCGCTCGTGACACTGCGGCCCGGTGAGAGCGCGGATCAGGTTGTTGAGCTTCGCGAGCCAAGAGTACCGGGAGCTGTGTGGGAGGCGGGCAAGGCCAAAGTCGCAATGAAAGGAAGGTGGATGGCTGTCTGGCCTGGCATGACTACGGATGAGGTGTTGCAGAGCCCGGAAAAGTTGACGTCTGTCGGTGCTGGTGCAGGGTCATTGATAGGGGAGTGGGTGACGGAGACTATTGAGGTTGGAAACTAGGCAGTGGACTTCCTTTCCCAGCAGATCTAGAAGCTTCGATCATCTTAGTACAATCTTTTGTTGTCTTCAGTAAATTGCTATCACATCAAATTAAGCTGAGCTGAGAATCCTACATGCGAACCGTTCGGAAAAGGAAAAAAGGCAACTGAAATTCCAGTGGCTAAGATCTTGGAATACTCTTACTTGAGTACCCTTGAAACTATGCAGTAAGTGAGTGGCAACTTCAACCCAGAGTAAGGTACTCGAGATATGTTTAACACTGTAATCCAAATAAATGTAACTCGGTCATGTTTGCTCGGCAGGGGTATGCTCTTTCATGGGCCTCTCTTTCTCGATCCGCCGGTCTGATAAACGTTTGTTCAGAACCTTGAGTCCTGTCTCAAGTGGTCGATACATATGATTGGGATTTGTCAGCCAGTTCAAACTACTTCCCAAGTCACTGTACTCATTTCGGGTGTCCGATGTGAAGAAGAGGGTGATGCACCCTAAGACAGGTTAGTATTCACAATATTTGATGGGAAGATAGGGGTTCAGGCCTGAAAGACTTACCCCACGCAAGCTGACACGAATCCATGGCAATGAAAAGCAGGAACTGGATTAGACGCGCAACAAGAAGCATAGGCAGAACGGTGATGCCTACAACTACATGAACATACTTCCAATTGGTGGAATCCGGGTTTTTCAAGTCCAGGTATGCTACCGAGACCCTCCGAGCGGGAAGATTGATGAAAAGATATACTACCCAAAACCAGAAGTGCCTCGAGAAGCTAGTTTTGTGGTTGCTCTGATGGCTTGTTCCAGAATATTGAGATGTACGGTCCTCTTCAGACGCGCCGCCGTTCTCGGCCTCTTCTTGTTGGTGTGTGGGCGTAATCCGCCCGTCGTCCCCCCGCACCTCACGTCCAGAGCTCAACTTGTTGCTGTAAATCTTGTCGTGCGAGTATTTATGTATCGCCGTCGACACTCTCTTTGCATTACCCAGCGCCACGAATGTGAGGGCTAGCGCAACAGCAGAGCAAATAACCATTGGCTTAAGAACGCCGCTCGGCGGCTCCTCGCTCATGCTGAATATGCTGGCCGCGAAGCCAAGCGGCAGGAACACCACGGTCACGTAGGTGAAGAGTCGGACATTCTCTGCATCGATGACTGAGATATTGTCACGGCTCTGCTGCTGTTCGCTTTTCAGCTGCTCCTTCAGTGACCGCACGTCGTTCCGATGTTTCTGCAAGTCTCTGATGCGGCGGGCTGTTGAACCTTGCATCTTCCCGATGAAGCCGCGGTACTTGCGCTCGTCGTTGCGTGTCCATCGTGGTCGTTCCTGTCCTCTGTCATTTTCGCGCGTCTCCCATTTAGACACGGTTGACAGCACATCTGACAGCTCTTGTTCTATGACCTGAAGAATCTGCTGGTAAAATTGCCACTTGGTGCTCGATGAGAGGTACTCGACACTGTTTAGAGCCGAGAATGAAATGATACCGCGTTTTTCGCCCAGCTCCTGTTTGACCATGTCAAATATATCCTTGGTACTTCTGATAATCTCCTTCAACATTCCGTCAAAGAGATATAGCTCGAGCACTTTTCTTTGCCGCCAGCCTTCCCTGCCCCACGGATGGTTCCCCTTCCATGCCTCACCACTTCGGCCGTGGGTGTACTCTATCACGTAACAGGTCCAATACCGATCGAAGAAATCTCCAGAAAAGCGAAATCCCATGGAGGCTTGTGCCAGCTTCCAATCAGCGTTTCCCGGGAATTCTTCGCAGCTTAACGAGGGGATTCCCGAAGAGGGGCTGTAATTCTTTCTTACCAGGCGATAGAAGCTCAGGTGGAGCTCAGTCTTCCAGGTATTGAGTACCATAGTTGTTTCTTCGAGGAACTTATTCTCGTAGTGGAAATGGCTGTCGAAGAAATCCGATATGGCTGGTCGCTCATCCGGTGGACTGCCAATGTAGCAAATGAGAGCAGTCTCGGCGTCCGCGTGCGACAGCCAAATAAACCTCTTTTTCGCTGCCTCAGCTGTCCGGGTCTGCGATATCAAGTCCCAAAGCATGTCGTTGTTGAAAAAGCTCCCATTGTCGTCGCTCATTGCCCTCTCCTGCTTGCTGAGATTCTTCCGCTTTCGAATATTCACGATCGATACTCGAGGATCTGAGGACTTGAAATGGTGCCGGTGTACGCTTAACCTCAAGGAAACTGCTCTATGAGCTGTATATGGCGAGTGGTTGATGTAATCCTTGGCCGCTTTGGTGACCACGGTGCCTGAATGGGAACTACCTGTTGGTCTTGATAATTCTTTCGCCTCCTCGTGAAAGTCAACGAGAGTTTGTCCACCACCACCCAAAAAGTTTGGGTAATTGTAGAGCCACTCTTCTTCCAAATCAACAATGCTGCTCTGGTCAATGAGGCTGTTGAAAGGGATACTCTTCTTCATGGCCGTTGCCTTGGCCTTTTTAATGCCAGGAGAGAGGCTTTTGGCTTCGACTGGTTCGGCGGTAGGTCCTTGTATTGCAGGTGACCTGTGCTCTTGCCGTTTTGGCTGTTGTGTCATGATATCTGCGACCTCGATGAGTGGGTGTGGTGGTGGTATTTGCGTTGCTGCGGAACCTGGTGGCGACTCAGGATTGTTCTCGGGAGTGTCTTTCAATGTAGAATTGATTTTCCAACAATGCGTCAAAAGAATATAGGGAATTTCGAAACTAGCATGAAAGTAGAAGTCCCGATCCGCCTCACTGACAAACAGCATTGGCTCCTTCGTTGTTCCGTCAAGCTGGCCATAAAAGAGCCCATTTGGACTCGTAGTGCGAAATAGAACATCGAAAGCACTTTTGACCAGGTCTTTTGATGACCTTTTATTGAGGCGCATATTTCTGGTTCCCATCATGATTGCCAGCGCATAGCGAATCGAGTTGTCCCACCCTGTCTCTGAATTTTCGTTGTGATGCAACTGGGCCTCAATCGTGTTGTCCCACACCTCGTCGATCAGTGTTGGTAAGAAGAAGTCCCACTCAATGCCGTAGAATAGTGCGGTGTCGCTAGCATGAAACAAGAATCGCGTCTCTCGAGAAGACCGCGTTGTAGCCAGCATGCGTTTCTTCGACACGTCGTTCTCGACCGTGAAACGCCGGAGGATGTCTCGGTGAATGGTATCAGGGCCAAATTGTCTGAAAAGCTTGTCTTCATCACTGGGAACTTGGTCTCGCCGACTCTTGTCACTGTCTTTCTGTTCCTTCTTGAAATTTTCAAGAGCCTCCCCATGGGCCTCGTCACCGTCGCTCGGGAGGGTCTTCGGGTCGGGGGTTCTCCGCCGGTCATCTTCGATTGCTCTCAATGCTCTCCAGATCCAGACATGTTCATAGAGTCTATACTTACTGCACCCCTCATCTTGTGCATGAGGCCACACATGGGAGTTACGCTTATCAGACTCTTTCAATGTATCGATCCAGTCTTTGTCAACCATCCGAATTACCTGTCGTACCAGTTCCCTGTCGAATTTGGTTTTGTAGACTTTGGAAAAAGCGGCCGCCTTCATGAGTTGGAATGGTGTGTCGGTGAAAGAGTTGCCTGGCATAAATGAAGCGGAACCCGTGTCAAGGGGCATTGTTCGGCCCGTTGCCCAGTAGTTCGCCGCGAAAACGTGGTCTTCCGTTAGGTCAACTTGTGAAAGCCATATCAAGTGGCCACGGCAGACTGAGTCGATCCTAACTCGCAACGGCTCGTAAGGATGGTCAGGGTAGGATTCCTCAATCGCATTCAAATACTTTACAATTTCAAGCAGAAATAAGAATGCAAAGCTAAAGAATTCAGCGTGTGTTAAGCAAAGACAAAAGAAGGCGCCAAAACGACCAAAGGGTTTGATTTTTAACTTACAAACTTGCTGAAGAACACACACGATGTCCTGATACATCGCCACAGGTCAAGGCAACTGCCGCTACCTCCCCCTTCGCCGAATGTTGTTCGATGGGAAGAGCGCACGTCGACAAGATGTGCTCCAGGTTCCGACGGGCAACAAAGTCAATGTGATTCACTGGGCTGTCCGTCGGCAGTCCACTTGGCTGTGTATCGTTGGCCGATGGATTAAATCTCATCCAGCGAGAAAAGAGTCCCCCGGACTTCTCTCCCTCAGTTTGTGTAACGGGCTTATCGTAATCTGTAGGGTGGAAGGCTGTGAACGACGCTGACCGAAGATGCTTGCTGACATCCGCTCGGGCCGGTGACACGAGGAATCCTTCCCATGTGGCACCATCCCTTGGTAGATGAACCATCTTATAGGCCGTGACGATTTCTGTTGTGGCATTCTCCCTCAAAGATAGATTCAATATTTCGGTGTCGTCCAGATCATCCAGGCAGTCAGATTTCCACTTGACTGCCTGACCGTCTCTAAAAACAGACACAACGACCGCGATAGTATCTGAAGGCTCGACGGGTGAACCTTGTAAAGTTTCTGGCGGTTCGACTGGATCACTAGTGTCCGTGTTGATCTGTTCGACCAGAGGTAAGACTGGATCAGGATGAGAAGACTCTGCACCATCCTGGTTGACTTCTTCCTCCTCCATGTCCCGGAGAGGATGAACCAAGCCCCACCCGTAATCATTTGGGCCCAGTGTCTGAATTTGGGATGCCATTCCTAGAGTAGACATTTCCAGATAATTCAAGTCTTGGAGGCGCATGCCCTTCCCAAAGTTGACCGGGACAGCCTTCTCGCCTGCCCCGGTATTCGTGATGAGGCATTGCTGCAAGATTGTCTTCTCATAAACCATCCACTGCGTAGTGAGTTTGAGCCCCAGCGCTTTATCTTTAACCTCATATCGCGGCCATCTGTCGTGAACATAACCTAGAAGTTGGCAATGCTCGAGACTTATGCTGGGAATTCGCAGGCCGTACGAGATACTCTCTCGATGTACATCTTGCCGCAATTCAAGAATTTGGCTAGCTCTGTTGTCCACCCAATATGGCTCCTCGATGTCGAGATGATCTGCCGAAAATACACCGGAATGACCAACGCCCATAAAGCTGCTGAACTGCATCAGATCGCCGTATGCATTGACAGTGGCCGTAACTCCATCATCCCCAAAGGAAGCATAACACTCCGGGTTCCACGCCTTTGACCAGTGACTGATCTCGTCTTCTCTTGGTTGGAATGCTTCAGGCTTCACATCGGGTTCTCCGGGGTTACCTGATCGACATTAGTTGGTAGATTTGGGTAAGATAGCCTGTGCCCACTCACGCTTGATCCAGCTCTGAAATACGTTGCTGTCCTCTTCAGGAACCTTGTACCTCTTCCAAAAGGGCTGCCGCTTCACGCCAGCCGTGCCCGGTATCGATTTTGGACGCTCGCTCTCAGATTGTGACATGTCTGCGTACTGCAAATCAATCGCGACTCGTAGCCTGCTCATTCGGTTGAGCGACTTTGCTTTGAGAGCCTGGGCGGGGCCAAGCCGCACTTATATGCATATTGCCAACCCCGGTTCACTGGTGAGTATCGTAAAATAGAACAAGGGTGTGGACGACATTTCCCAATGGAGTCCTTCCATCCTCGGTAAGTTGGGTGGCTGTATCTTTTGAGTAGCTTGCGCGAATATCAATCACGAGGCTATTTCCGCTCTGAGCTGCTGACTGCATGTCACTTGCGCCACATCACCGGGGTGGAAGGCATGGGTGACGGCAAGGCTGTGGGAAAAGTTGGCAGTTCTGGGAAGGGATTTCCGGTCAGGCCTTTCTCCAGCCCCAAGTTTTGGGATATCGAATGTTTTCTTCCCGTTGGATACTCTTTGAATTTCATGGCTCAATCATTACCATGCAACCTGGACCTCGATGCCATTTGGGGACACGATAGAAGGCTCTTGAATGAGGCCCAGGAAACTCGCAGCAATGACACCATGAGGCTCTTCAAATTGGGTTGAGAAGGCTCTGTGAATAGTCCTGTGAGGGGGGTCGAGTGTAGTCTGATATCACATCTCATGCTGACACTCTTGAAGCTATTAAACAAGGTGCGTCCAATACTACCGAAAGAGATGCTGACGGTAACACAGAGAGTAACAGTAGCCTTGCGGCTTGCGGCTCTGGAAATTCAATTCCCTAAGCACGGCAGAAAGTTTCTCCAGAATGGACGGCACAACACCTCATGGGTGACGGCATGGTTGAAGTCGGGAGTCGAGCCCCATGTGGCCTATAATCTCGAGTAAATGTGCATGCTATCTCTAATCCCTATCTCAAAATTCTACTAAAGGAATAAGAGGCCGTAATTTGACTCATTCTACTACTTTCTAGGTACTTCAACACCAGGCTCAAGCTTTGACGAACCGGGCTTGACGCTTCCTTTCCCTCGAGAAAGCCCGTCGCTTGCGGCGCAGGCATGGTGATTCTCCGAGCTATTTAGAAGAGCCTGCCGTGTCATATTGTTGACACTATGTTGACAGAGAAGAATGACGGAAAATCCGGTCATCCCATGAATGGCGAAGCTCTAGATCGAGGTTTGAATAAGTGACTAACGACACGCTGAACCAGGGAGGCCCTCCTACTATTGAATCATCCGGCTTTCAACTCATATTCCAGGTCCGAATATGCCGCAAAAATTGATAGGAAACTTTGGATGCTTGGAGGGTGTTGGTCTGTCTCGCCCCTGATTGCTCAGGAGAATCGGTGTATACTGCCAGTGTCTGCCATCTCAAATGTCATGATGCCGCTCAAGCACACTGGAATGCGATGATGGGCTTCCGCGGTGCCGAGCATATCGAGGACGTCTCGCCCGTCTTCAGCAATGACGGCTATCTAGAGTTACGCGGCGTTGTGGTGATAAAGAATACTCAACGGTGGTAGCGGTCTGCTCTGTGCTTTTTGGCCGGTTTACACAGACGGAGGCAACAAAAGCATTGACGGGAGAAAGGAGAAACCACTGAATTCTTTTTCAACTTTTTCAGTTCGTCCTTCTGTTAAACGCAGTATATCAGCAAGAACCTATAGCCTCGTGGACATCAGATACTTGTAACGATATCCGATGATTTATGTACCAAAATGACCTCGCATCGCTCAGCCAAACGTTATATCGTACACACCATCATATCAAACAGAAACACATCACTCCTCCTAGACACAACCCCCCAAACACCTCATCCGCCACATACAAAATCAAGGCGGCACCCACCCAAGCTCCTCAATAGGCCACTGAATCCAAAGCCGATGATCCTGATCAAGCACAGCCCACGCCCTCGAAATCAAATGCGTAGCCCACCCCTGCAGCCACCACTCATTCTCCAACCTCTTCAACAAGATACAAAAATGCGAAAAAATCGCAACAGCCTCCTGCGTATGCCCAGGACTCTTCAGCAGCGGCAAAAAGTCCTCCGCCATCAGGTACTTCCACACAAACGCGTCCGTGATATCCATCCCCCGCCCGCCATCCCACAAGAACACGCTCAGCGTCCGCCGTAGCTCGTCAATGGCGCGGTTGTAGACTGGCAACAAGGCGGCGTCGGCGCAGGTCTTGTTGACGAGGCGTTGGAGGTCTGCAAGGAGGTCGGATTGGATCTTGGACTCGTCGCGCATGTGCATGTAGCGCTCGCGGCCGTGGTTGAACATTGGTGTGAGGGGACCGGCGTAGGTGTGCGGGTCAAGTTCTTTGAGGAGGGAGCGGGTGCCGCGGAGGAGGAAGAGCCAGTCTGGGAAGGAGGACTCGCCCATGATGAGGGAGTCTGAGGATTTGCGTGGGCAGGCGAGGGCTTTGTTTGGGGGATGTTAGTCCTGATTTCTATACCTCTATTCGTAGAAGGGGGTAAAAGGGGGATTCGTGACAAAAACATACCAAAAAAGATAGTCAACACCGAAAACAGATACAACTTTTCACAATTCTCCCCGTCCAGAGCACCCATCAACCCCATGGCCGTCCGGCTCGCCATCTGGTGATACGTCAAGGCCCGACTAATAAAGAAATCCCGCCTCTCGGGCCTGTTGTGCGCGAGGTGCAGCGCCGACACGCTCAGCAGCGCCCTCATGACGTAGTCGCACTCGAGCGCCAGCCGGACGACGGGCACCTTCCACATCTGCCGCACCACGGGGTCCGTCGAGAGCGTGTTGAAGGCGAAGGTGGTAAAGTTGTGCATGAGTTCCAGGTCGATTAGGTTGAGGGAGAGGTCGTCGATGCCACCGCCTCCGCCTCCGTTGCCGAGGCCGAGACCGCCGATGCCGCCGCCGTTGATGAGTCCCGGGGTCGGTATACTGCCTGGCGAGCGCGGGAGTGATGAGGCGGAGGAGTGCCGTTGGGACTGGAGAAAGTCGCAGGGGACGGCGTGTTTGATGCAATTCCTGCATGAGGGTTTGTGTTCGTCGCACTGTGGGGCGGGGTGTGTTTGTTAGTTTGTCTAGTCAATGGGAGCTTCCCTTTTCTGGTGTAACAGGAAGGGACCGAGTGAGAGGGTATGGAGAAGAAATTTCGACAACACATGAGATTGAGGGGCATGGAATGAGATGTGATGGTGGCATGAGTGAGAGAGTGTAAGAACGGAATGGGGGGTGTATGTCACACTTCATAGGAGACACCCGCTCTCAGCACCAAACTAAGAACCTCTCGTAGCAGATGACTTGCAATACAATAATGAGATCAAAACTCACCTTAATCTTCCGATTCTTACACGTCCTGCACCCTGTCCTCGACTTGGGATGCGACCGCCTCGAAACAACAGTCGCGCCGGTATTCGCCGTAACGGCACCAGTAGTAGTACCAGGCGTGCTCCCCCTCCCAGCCCCAGCACCAGAGGCCGAAGCCGAGGCCGTCGTACTCGTCGTAGATGAACCACCACCGGCACTACTGCTCGCCGCAGAAATACTCCCCAACGGCATCGCAACGCTAGGCGACTTGGTGGCAGCAGCAACACCGACACCGACACCGCTACCGCTGTGAGGCGTCGTCACCGTAGCCGTCGGCGTCGAACCCGGCGCCGAGGACGAGCTGCCGGACCCATCCATCGGGCTATCCATGCCGGGTCAAGGAAAACACGGCACTCCCACTCACAGGTCACACCCAGCCAACCAACCAACCAACCAACCAACCAACCAAGCCGGCCAGCCAGCAGTCCCCCCTTGGACGCTTAGGCCGCCGCCCCAGAGTAGGTAAGCAGAGGAGGAAAAAAAGGAGGGGCCTTAATAACCCGCAAGTTTTGGTACGGTCGTAGGAATGATTGATCAGCGGGCGGGCGCGCGCGGCGATGACGGAACCAACGGTCGAAATGCAAGATATGACCGAAGCCTACGCAAATTCGGCAAAGACTGGCTCGGAGGGGCGGATTGAGAGGGAAAAACAAAGGTGGCATGAAAGGAAGAGGAAACCAGGTCGAGAGACGTGGTTGGCGGCGGCCTCGTTCTTTTCGGATGCAAGGGCTACAGGGTTCCGAATACGAGAACGTCGTCGAGGTGCGGTTTCGTATGTAAGAAGAGCGGGGATTGGCTTAGCCCGTGCGTGCCGAAAGTCTTCTCTGCTGCTATAAAGAGGTCGACGTTTCCGTCTGTGTTCTGGACGTGAAGACAATAGAACATAAAGCTTCTGCCTTAGTAATAGGCAATAGAAGCGCTCGTCTCAGCGCAGCCTCATACACTCTCCGATCATAGAGAGGGCCTTTGATTCGATGGCTGGGTTCGATCGAACTTGTCGGATTTCACGTCAAGAATTGCAACATCCGTTGATCCATTCCATTGAGACTATCTATCAGCGCTGTCTGGCTCGCCTTCTACTCATGCTTTCTGTTGAGACCCAGGCAACACGCTTGTCTCCTTGGCCCCTCATCTCTTCCGTTGCCTCTCCCCAATGTGAGTCACCGAGATGTCGCGGGCCGTACCTTTCCTCTAAATTACCATTCTTCCCCTGCGGTGACTAAACAACTATGCAATGTGACCGAGACCATTAGCAAAAAGATTCCCATGCCGCCGCCATGATGGGATGAACGAAGCATTTTCTCGTCCCGCGTAAGTCAGAAGGGGTGTCAAGGATATCCGCGTCGATTGAATTTGGAAGTTTCATGAGTACGTCGTGTGAATGGTTGATGAGGAGTAGGGAACTCGTTCGAAAGGATCGAACGTGATGTCTCTTTGCTTGCTTTCGCGCACGTCGGGAGTGGTTGCACGATACCGCCGGTTCCGAAAATAACGCCACTAATCGCCAGAGGCTTCCATCAACACCTCAGCGCCGATCGTTGCACTACACCGTGCTATGCTCGCCAGCCTATTTGGCGTGCTTCTTGAAGGCGAGAAGCTCAGACAGGCTGCCCAGCGGGCATCCGTGCTTGAGGAAGTCGTGCTGAAGAAGCTCGTCGGCAGAGGCTCTGCTCTTGACGTCTACGCACAAGCAGACCGACAGGAAAGCCTTGAGCTCCTTGCTCAGCTTCTCGGGCTTCTTGAGGCGCGGGGTACCGTTGGTGGCGATCAGGTAAAGAGCCTTGAGGGGCTCCTCGTTCAGGTACGGCGGCTCAGACTCAATCATCTCAATCGCCATGATACCCAGAGACCAGATATCAACCTTGGGACCGTACTCCTTTTGCTTGACAACCTCGGGGGCCATCCAGTAGGGCGTTCCAACCATGGTCGCACGCTTCGACTTGGTTTCAGTGAGCTTGGCGCAGAAACCGAAATCGGCTATGGACTTGGTCAGTAGCTGCGCAGCGACGGGCATTACGATTCACTTACTAATCTTGACGTTGCCACGAGCGTCCAGAAGAACGTTGTCACTCTTGATATCGCGGTGAATAATGTTTTGGGAGTGGAGATGTTGCAGACCACGGCATGTCTAGGTCGTGTTAGCATTGTCTCGCTGGTTTTCAATTCTTAGTAAGTCTCTTACCTCCAAGCAAATTGTGGAAATCTGCTCCTCAGTGATGCTCGGGTTGTTATCAATCACATCCGTCAGAGCGCCACCCTCCATGTACTCCATGACAACCCAGAGCTCGGAGTTGTTGTTTCGCAAGAAGGCGTCCAAGAAGTTGACAATGTTGCGATGCCTGCTGTCCTTCATAACCATGATCTCATTCACAATCAGCTCTTTCCTGGGCTGGTGAGCAAGGTCCATCTGCTTAATGGCAACTTGAGCCTTGATACCCTGAGCACGTAGAACATCGCGAGCGATAGGCGAAACAGCTGTTTCCTTGACCTTGGCAACGTAGACTGAACCCGAAGCACCCTGTCCAATCTTCTTTTGCTTGGAGTAGGAAAGGTTGGGGTCGTCCTTGGATACGGCCTCCTTGAGCTTGGCCATAACCTCGGTTTCGGACATGGTAGACATGCGCACATCCTGCTTGCGTTCTTGCGCAGGTGGCTTGGCAGTGAGAGCTGCCTCGGCGGCCTTGACGCCGTCGCTTTGAGGGGCAGCCGGCTGAGCCTTGGACACGTTCAAAGGCTTGACAGGAGCGGGCAGGCGAGATGGTGGCGGAGCCTGAGCCTGAGGGGGTTGCCTCTGCTGCTGGGGGCTGCCGTTGGGGTACCGTTGCTGCTGGCTCGAGGGCTGATCTTGCCGGGGCATGCGCTGAGCTTGGTTTGGATCCCGCATGGAGCTTGAGCTCTGTTGCGAAGCCATCGGCGGGCGGCTTGGTGTGCCCGCGGTGGTGGGCGGCGATGGTGCCGGACGCTGCGCACGAAGGCCGTTGACCTGCTGCTGCTGTGACGGCTTTGGTGCCGGGGGAGCTGCCCTCGAAGGGTTGTATCTGTCTGTTTGTGGGATGGAAGAGCTGCCGCCGTACCCACCAATCTCTTGCTGAGCCATGGGCGTCTTGGTTTTGGGGATGGAAGCGTTGAATACTTCCAGGTCGCGCCGGTTCTGCTCCTCGATCTCTCTGTCCCGGGCGCGCTGCGCCTCCAGCTGCTTCATGCGCTGCTCCTCGCGAGGATCCGGCTGGTAGTTGGGAGCCATACCCTGCATTTGCTGGCGCTGCTGCTGCTGCTCTGTGGGCGAAGGCCGGCGCTGTTGGCCTTGTGATGAGGGTTGTGTATTGTAGCTGGGTTGACGCTGGGCCTGAGAAGGCGGCATAGGCCTAGGCGGCGCAACTCCCGCACCACCGCCGCCATAACCAAGCTGCTTGTTCTGTTGGCTGCTGGCGGGGGGCGTAGGGGTGAGGCTGGAGTATTGCTGGGGGTTCTCGGCGCGCTTGGTCAGGTCGGAGTAGAAGTCGAGTACTTCAAAGACAGCCTGGGGGTTGCGCTCGTAATCCTCCTTTGTGATGGCGGAGGAGTTGAGCAGCTTCGACCATTCGGGTGGCAAGCCGACAAACTCGCCAGTCTGGGGGTCGAAACCAACGTGGACGGCGTGGGAGAAGTTGGTGGGGTTGCTGACACCGCCCATTCCAGGGCAGGCGCCGTAAATGAGGTCAATCCATTCGTACAAGTCGTCGTCACTCTTGACACGAATTTGCAGCGTCTTGGTCTGGCCATCGTCCTCGCCAGGGCTGTTTGACGACCCGCTGGGGTTTCTCTTAATTTCGAAAATGGTGCCAGCGGCCTCGACTCGGCCGACGTTGACAACATCTTTCAGGAAGAGGGTATACGAGACCTTGCCACCCTCGGTCTTGTGGAAGTCGAGCGACTCTTTTCGCAGGATGAGGTATTTCTGCTTCCACGGGTTGATAAAGTTCTTGGACTCCTTCACAGAAGCCCAACCCTCCTTCTTGACAGCGACGCCTCCCATGCCATCGTTCTGGTTGCTCTGCTGGCGGGCGATGGGGAGGGAGATTGTGGAGCCGGTGTAGGTCGAAGTCGCCGTGCTCCGGATAGGAGAAATAGCCATGTTGGCCATGCTGCCGGGTAGGGTATTGCTTGGAGTGAGGGCGAGACGAGGTCGATCGGTGGGTGGTCGTGGCGCCGGGCCTGGGTTCATGAACTGGCCGGACGAGTACACACTGCGTTCGTTAGCCATGATTGCTGCGCAGCGTGGGCGACGGCGGCGGGCGGCGAGGTCTGCATGCGACGAAGAAGTGGGAAAGGAATGAGAGAGCCGAGGTGGTGGTGGCGGCAATCAAACAACGACGAAGAGCAGCAGAAGGGGCGTCGTCGATTGAATGAAGATGATGCTGATCGGGAAAAGGGGGACTTTTTTGCCGGGAAACAAGGCAGTGGACGGGATAGAAGAGGAGAATAAGATGTGGAATGGGCAGGACAGCGCAATTAGGAGGCTGTTGGCGGTTGACAATCGGTGAGGTGCGCCATGACAGATCGAGACGAAATGAACCCCACTTCTAGCCTCGCTGAAGGAGTCGAGTCGCAGCGCTGGGGGGACAGAGAAGAGTAGGTACTGCGCAGCGCAGTGTGTGTGTGTTGGCTGATTGATGCACATGCACGTACAGAGTAGGTACACACACACCACACACCGTACGTTTATCCGTACACACAAGGGAACAACACACTTGGATTGCTTGTGCTCGTGCTTGTGTGCTTGAGCTGCTAAGGTGAGGAAGAAAGGTATTGTTGCTGCAGGGCAACTCGCTGGTACTGCTCGTGCAGCTTCTGCTTCCTTCTACCGCTTACCGCAGCCGCCGCTTGCTGCGAATTGCCTTGCAGAGGGCTAAATTGCGGGTGCAGACTGCAGTAGTGGAGGGTGGAGGAAGGAGGGGGGGGATGAGGTGGATGGATAAGTGTGAGTTAGGATGGGCCGGATGGGGAATATGCGTGTGCGGTGCAGACAAGACGCATTAGGCAGGAAAAGACAGGCTGGACCAAGGAAGCAAGTAACAGGTAGTACATACAATGCAGGGCTAGACCACGAGGATCAAGAGAAACGAGGGAGAACACGTATCGATGGGATGGCGACGATGGACGACAACGACGATGAAAGAAGCCGGAGAATCCAAGCAAGACCAAGCAAGGCA